GTCTAAGGTTGTGAAATTGGTATTAACCCCATCGATTTAATTTAAGAAATGAGAATAAATTATCGTTTTCCTCCGCCACGTAAACTACAATCACACATGTCAGATTAAAAAATTGTCTACGACACCTCTTTATGCAGGCTGCAGATAAAAAATGACCAAAATTGAAAAAAATGTCAAATTATAGGACCAAGTTTAAAAATGGTCAATAGAAAAATTCAAAAATGTACTTTGACCAAATTATAGTAACAATTTTGAATTTTAACCTATCCTGTTTCATACAACTTTTTATGATTTTTGAATCTTTTTTTGTTATAAGTTTAAGAAGGATAGGTATTGGTTTGACAATAAAAAAAGGTGGAAATTCTATTAGAAGGCCAACTTTTTATAATTGTATCAATTTAAGGCTTGAATTTTATTCTTTCTCAATAAAAGGTTTATATTTTAGATTATTCTTACTTTAAGGCCTACTTTTTAGTTAACTTTCATTATAAGGCTCAATTAATTTTACTTTTTGACATAAATATGTGAACCAACTATTATGTGAACAAAAATGTTATTATTATTTTTTCTTGTAATTTATATTTTACATACTAATAAAAAAATAAAACTGCATAAATTATATATATGGAAAATTTTAATAATGATTATCTTATAAAATTTATAGATGAATTTAAAAATATGTAATGGAAATTTTATTTTTATTAATAAACTAAATATTACTATGGCATCAACTTTTGCGTCAAAATCTAATTTAAAATCCTAAAAAGCTAAAATAAAGGCAATATTATTCAAATATTATTTTTTATTTTATTACATATTTATATTATTAATAAAAATAATATTTTAATTGCATATTTTTTAAATTATAATTTTTAAAAAAATAATCATTATTAAACTTTTGCATAATTGTAATATATACAGTTTCATTTTTTTTATTAATGTAATTTTACTAAAGATATTTATTACTTTTTTTATTATATGTATGTAAAATATATATTACAAGAAAAAAATATTAATAATATTTTTGTTCACATAATAGTTGGTTCACATATTTATGTCAAAAAGTAAAGTTAATTGAGCCTTATAATGAAAAGTTAACTAAAAAGTAGGTCTTAAATTGATAATAATCTAAAATGTAAGCCTTTTAAGAAAAAATAAAAATCAAGCCTTAAATTGATACAAATACAAAAAATTAGGCCTTGGAATGGAATTTCTTTCCATTTTTGCATTTAGAAATAAAATAAAATAAAAGGTAATGGGCAATTTGGCCTTGCAAAAAGGGGTGTCCGTGTGTGGGTGTTTTTCCATTTTCCCCTAAATAGTAACGGACCGTAGCATTTCCCAACAATTTATTCATCACAAGCAGCATTAGCAGAAAAGCACACAACCATGGCTATGCTGAAGCGAACGGCGCTGATGAGATCGCTCGTCAATGGCTTCGGAGGATCGAGGTCTTACGCATCCGTCGCAGTGGGCTCCGACTTGTTATCGGCCGCGCCGGACGTTTCCCTCCAGAAAGCTCGCTCTTGGAACGAGGGGGTTGAGTCCAAGTTCTCGACCACTGCTTTGAAGGACATTCTCAAGGTCTCTCGATTTGTTTGTTTGATTAGTAGAGTATTGTTTGGGATTATCGGATTGAAATTCTTGGGCTACTTTACATTTTATTTCTTTGTTTTGTGGGCTATGCTTATCCGGTGTCGTTTTTTCTTGTTACTTTTCCAGGATAAGAAAGTTGTCATCTTTGGCCTCCCAGTAAGTCAGATTGAATTCTTTTCATTTTGATTTTGGTTTTTTTCTTATCCAGTTTCATTATGGAAAGAGTTAGTGATGTTTTTCAATGTTGATTTTTACTACGGACATTTCTTGTGTTTGAACCAATCCGTTTGTTATTTAGCTTATGATGAGGACATTGAGGTTTTTTGTTTCTTTTAGATTCCTTTATTATTGCGCAAATTCTTGTGTGAAGCGGCCTAAATTGTTAGGCGAGTTGATTTGTTGTATCTTTTCAACAAAAAATGTATACTTTTGCTGTGAAATGCCATACTTTTGCATATGTTGTTTTGTAGAGTATAGAATTTTAGTTTGAAAGTATGCATACCCCTTTAGACCTGTGCCTCAGTGTTAAAGTTGAAGTAAAAATGTTCCACGACCACAGTTTGTGCTGGTGCTGCAAATTCATTTACTTTTTAATTGACTGTACAACACATCGAGTATTGTCTTTAAGAACTGAAGAAAGGGAAAAGATTCACACTCTTTGGAGGAAAATACAAATTAATGATGTTAAATTGATATAATATTGGTTTCACTGTTTTCGTTTATCGTTTCAATTGAACATGTATAGTTAGCTTTATTTCTTTTTTCTTTTCCTTTCAAGAGGTAGCTTTTGAATCTCTTTCTCCACTAATTTTGTTTTGACTTGGTTTTGATGCCACAGGGAGCCTACACTGGTGTGTGCTCGGCACAGCACGTTCCCAGTTACAAAAACAATATCAATAAATTCAAGGAAAAGGGAATTGATTCAGTGATATGTGTGGCTGTTAATGACCCCTATGTAATGAATGGCTGGGCAGAAAAGCTTCAGGCTAAGGATGCTGCAAGTCACCCATTTTCTCTCTCCCTTTCTCATTACAAAACAAAGCATTTTCCTAACAGTGTGAAAATCATTGATTCTTTGTCCCCAAAAAGTGAATTAAATGTTACTTCTTTGTGAATTTTTTATTTCAGAATTTAAGTTTGCTGAGTCTCAAATGGTGGTTGAGACTTGAGACTGAAAATAGTGGTTGACCTTTTTATAAGACAAGGAGATCGTTCGTCACATGGAAATTAGTATGGAAAATGGAAATATTATTTGAGTGCCACTTAGCCTCTGTTTGGTAAAATAGCTGATATGCTAGCTGATAGATGATAAGCTAGTTTATACCTTATATGTAATTTTCGAGCTTATAGCTTATAGCTAGCTATAACGTATAGCTGAAAAACTAGCTTATATGTAAAAGTGTTTGGTAAAATTAGATAATAAGCTAGCTGAAATAAAAATTTCAACTAGCTTATTTGAAAAGATACCTAAACAAGCTTATAAGATAAGCTCGAGCTTTTTAAAAAAGCTCGTGCTACCAAACAGGTTTATTTAATTACATGAAGCTTATAAGTTAACCAAATAAGCTATAAGCTAGCTTATTTGGCTACCAAACACAACCTTAGACTGCAAATACAAGTACGTGTTTTCGGGTCTGTAAAATAAGGTCGGAACTGGGCCTACCCACAAGCCCATTATTAAAGGTCGGATCTGGGCCTACCCACAAGCCCATTATTAATTCTGTGACCTCTGTGTAAACTTTCAGTGTACGCTATTTAAGCGGCTCCTTATTCGATTATGTCATTAGGTTGGCTACTAAGTTATTGTTTCTTGGGTTTCAAAACTTTTTCATCCATTCTTATGTTTGTGTTCTCTCTTTAATAAAACTTCGGATTTCCTGGGAGAGTTACCATACAAGGAATCTGACTCAACCTTTTAATTCTGCAGATTGAATTCTATGGAGATTTTGACGGGAGCTTCCATAAAAAGCTGGACTTGTCCATTGATTTAAGTGCTGCATTACTTGGACCTCGTTCTCATAGGTGGCTTTTATTTTTATTTTCTGTGGGTATGCATTTTACGGTTCTTGGGAATCTGATACATGTTGTGGTGTTATTTCTGTGATAGGTGGTCGGCTTATGTGGTCGATGGAAAGATCAAAGTTCTCAATGTTGAGGAAGCACCGTCTGAATTCAAGGTTTCTGGAGGAGACGTTATTTTAGGACAGATTTGAATCATTTCTCCCCTTTTTTTGGTGTCCTTTGATTACCTTAAGGTTAAGACATTATGCAACGGTCTTGTTGATCCTTGTCTTTTGGATCGAGATAAAGCGCTGGTTTTTGTGAGTAAGAGAAAACCTTGGTGACAGATTTGAGATTACATAGCTTTAATTTCATGCTATATTTTGACATGCATCAGTTGAATTCGATCAATACTTTGGATTTACGACTTCTATCGTGAATTAATAATATGTTGGTTTTCTGATTGTGTGAACATTACTATGTACTTGTGTGTGGAATTTGAGGCTCTCATTCGCCGACCAGATATCTAGGAACTGTTCTACAAGGTCGACATATTAAATAACCTCAACTCAACTTGACTCCGCTTGTTAAGGCTAGAGATTGCCGAACGAGGAGAGCTAGAGCTCATTTAGGTTCGTTAAAGGGATTTTTATGTAATTTTATGTACCTCGGCTCTAGTTCGGGATTTTGGATAGTTTGGTTGACAATTCGGCTCGATAAAAACGACAAAACAAAAAGAAATAAATGAAAAGCAAGAGTTAAAGAAAATGAGGACGGATATTTTATTGTGTATTTGGTATGAAACTTCAGTTTATTTTAGTCTTCGATGCTCAAGTTAGAATTGTTCTCTCGGAAATCTAATGTATGATGTGATGATATTAGGTCTTAGACCACTCACAATGCATTGAGTTTAATTTTACTTATGTGGCATATAAATAGACTTAAGTCCTAAATGACATGGACAAACTCAAGTAAAAAAACTTAAAAGCTATTCAATGCAAAAATATAATACTAAGTCTAGCATACATACTAACCAATAAAAATGCTCTAATATGTTTCCTTTATTAAAAAAAAAAATTAAATTAGGAATAAATGATGAGTGTTTGGGTTTATGCTTGGATCCAAAATAGACCCAAGTGTAGACTTGGTCTTTTTTTTTATTGCCACATAAGTTAGACCATGTCTACTTTTAATTGCATTGTGAGACATTTTTTATAGACTAGGTCTATTTCTTATGTGACATATGATATTTTATTAAGAGACTCAATGCATTGTGGGTGCTCTTAGTGTTTAATACATGTCCTTAAGCTACATATAGAGGTTACCTTGTTTAACCTAGTGTCCAAGATTCCTCACATGTTTCAGCTTTTCAAAATTCAATAATAGTGAAGATCTTCAAAGATTTGCGAGTCTTTGCTCACACGATTTGACTTTCCATATATACTTGAATAGTACGTTGGACTAATGCTCCTAAGTGTCGCTACTAGCAACCTTAGGCTCAGGTCAAGCGTCCAACATACTAATCTAGAGTCCTAGTTCAACCTGGTTTTGACCTCCTTTAGCTTGGGTGCCCCTCTTTCAACCTGATCTCTGCTCCAACGACCTGAGCCAATTTCATCCAAACCACCCCCGGTCTGATCGAGCTATAATCTAGCATGAGTGAACCACCATTGAACCAAGTGAGCTCATGCACCGAACGAGCTCTTGGTGGATGTTGTGATATACCGTATCAACCAATATTATTTTGAATGTATATCAATTGTAGTAATACTTATTGTAGTCCTAAAGTTCCAACCCAATTTTTTATTCGTTGTTTTGTAAATGGAGTTCACTGGACAGTGGTCTAGAAATTGATTCACCAATCATAACTCTAGAAAAGGCCGTGCATCTTTTTCACGTCACTATAAAAATATATTATTTTTTTACATTGTCCGCTGATAACTTAACTTTTTCATACACAGAAACAGAAAGTGTGAATACATTGTGCGATGAATATGCGACAGTTATGAGATGAATATGAGATAGTTATGCGGTCCATACGCATAATCATTCGCGTTTTCTCGAGGTGAAAAGGTTAAAGTACGAAGTCAGTGTACGTTGAACATGCAACAATTATGTGGATATCCGACACTTATGCGGCCCATTCGCACAACTTGTTGAATGCGTAGGGTCACCCTAACTTGTCGTGCGTTATTCTCGGTGTTTTGCGGTGTTGGTGAATTTAAGTTAATATTATTTTGAAGATATCAATCTTAATAGTCGAATTTAAAATGTTTAATTGGTAAAAAATTTTCGTGTTTCTCATGGTAATTCAAACATGCCTTTTCCATCTGTAGTCATTTATTCTCAACGATAATTTACTTATTCGAACTTGATTAGAAATTTTCTAAAACTTCGATAGTGTTCTAAATAGTTAGAAAGTACAAGTCGAAAAGCGAGTGTATATGGTTTAAGAAAATCGGACATATGGAGTAGAATTAGTCTATCCCTTTCGCACTTTTTTAGTTGAAAATGTAAACTTGTAAGTGGGGTGTGAAAAACATAATATATTTTTATGGAAGGGTTGAAAATAACTAGGAATAGTCATTGCTCAAGAAATTGTAGTTTATTTGATAATTCTATTTTCTTGGATAGTTATGAATATATACATATGCTTTTATATTCAAATTTTATATTTTAAAATACATATATAAATAAAAATAAATAAAAATATTATATTTCATAATATAAATATACATTTTTTTGTTAAAAATACTAACGGTTATAGAGATTAATAGTAACATGCATAATCTTTGTACCTTTCTTGTAGGCGGAATGGTACTTTATTCATTTATTTGTTCATTTATTGATTTTGCCTCCTCGCTCTGAAAATTTGGCAACGAAAAACTTTCATCTGAAGTTTCAACCATAAATATTAACTCATGAAAATGAAATGTTAACAATACGCCAGCCCAAGTAGCATCTTTACACAACTACTTCACCAAGACTCCATTTTTACGCATCTGCACAAACTCTAGAGCTGACAAATTCATCTGCAGACAACCCCATATCCACAATTTCTTCCTTTGTTCTCTGTTTTCAATTGTTTTTTTTTTGTTTTTTTTTTTGTTTTTGTAAGTTTTCAGTTCAATTATTGGAAACCCACATCGACAATGTCTTCAATCTCGAAGCTCATCCTTCTCTCTCTACTGTTTCATGCCATTTTCCTCACCAAATGCGATGGTGAGTTGCCACTTTCCTAAATTTTTCTTGATTTTCGTTAGATTTGCTTTCTGGGTTTTGCGTTTACTGCTGATTGGTGCTTTTTAGTTTGAAGCAGTTGTGTGAATTTGAAGTTATTGTCTTGAAATTGAAGATCTGGATTCAGTTTCTTCTATTTTTCAAATGCATGGGAATTTAGTTTTGATTACTTCGTGGGATTCTTGGATTTTCATTGTGGGAGCAAATTATTCTGTTCTCCTTTATTTTGCTCTGAGGGGGTTTTGCTTTAGGCAAGATTTGTACTCTGTGTGTTCAAGTTGGGCCAAGAAGGAAATTTCAAAATAAATGGTAAAATGAGATTTTTTGTGGTTTAATTTGAGATCTGAAACTAGTTTGATGTTTTGTTTCAGCATAAATCAAGTTTGAAACATTAGGTAGTGTCTGTGCTTCTGTTTGAAGTTTGGTATAACCACAAGGCATCGCCTTTTTTTCGAACTTCTGATATATCTTTTCTTCTTTCTGATTCACTTGGTTTAGAATGTATTTATCATTGAAATCGTGTGTGATCTCTGTTTTGATTGTTAGATCAGTCTGGTTCTTGGTTTAATGCTGCATGGAGTGTCTTGAATAATAACATGAGTTGGAGAAGCAGTTTTCCTAGCAATTATCGAAATTTATTTGTTATTGATTTTGGTAATTGGGCCAAAACAAAGTGGTTTTATTGCCTTTTCTGTATTATACTTCCAAACTGTAGACTATATTTTGTTCAAGTTATGCCAAAAACAGATGGAAAGTTTTAAATTTTAATTCTATTGTTTTAGTGGTTTGATGGTTACTAATATTGACCATCAAAATATTGAAAATGTTGGCTTTAGCACTCATTTAACTTGGTGAATTTAGTAGGTCCTTTTATAGAAATTCTATGTATGTTGATTTGTTTAGCTGTAAAAGCTCATTTTCACTGTCCTGTTTTTTAGCCTGATTGCCTTAACAAAAATATGCCATCTTTGCACAGTTCAATGTTTCTGGAACTCATGAATCATGCTTTCTCAGTTCATCTTCTTGTTCTCATGTCATAGTTTTATAGTTAATCTCTTTCTTTTTTGGTGTTTTTTGTGTGTAGTGGATAATTTCAATAATCAATCCTTTATGTCGAACCTAATAATAAAGAAGCCAAGTCCCCATTTGAAAGTTTGAAAGAAGTCAAGAACCTTGACGCTGGTTAAAATAACAAAACACTTGCTAGTTGCTACTGAGTTCTTCAAGCTTTGAATGCAAACTTGAATTTTATTGGTTTATTTATTGAACAATTTGTAATGTTTTGTGATTAGGCTAGACTTCAAGGTTAATAATATCAACAAATGAGTCCCTAAAAGATGTAATATTTACTAAAGTAATGAAATTTTTCATTCTGACTTATTGATATTAATTTTCACTCAATCACTAACAAAAACAACTCATCCAATCACATACATACACAGATGAGGAAAACAGGCTCGTCCAAGGAATCAATCAGTACCGCACATCCTTAAACCTCACGGCCTTAACCCACAATGAACGGGCCGAATGCCTCGCGAGTGAACTCGCTGACCAGTTCAAAGGCCAACCGTGCACAAACTCCACTGGCTCAAACACCATTCCAGGCACCGAGCCCCAGTTTCCCAACTTCCAGAACCTTCTGACCAAATGCCACCTCAACGTCACCACCACAAGAGACGGGCAGATATTGCCCGCATGCGTGCCACACCTGAACCCATCTCTCGTGCTTTCGAATTTCACAATGTCTCAGTACTCGAGTTTTTTGAACGGGACCCAGTTCAGCGGGATTGGGGTTGGGTCTGAAGATGATTGGATTGTTGTCATCCTGACCACAAACACGAGTGAGGGGGATTACGCGCTCGGGACTAATGTGGATAATGGGGCGCCCGGGATTGGTGGGATTGCTGGTTGTTTGGTGGCTTTGGTTGTTGGGTTTTTCATGTTGTAAATTTTGGGTGATGAGAATATAGATGTCTTTGAGAATGAAAGGTTTGAGTTGAGTTTCTAAAATCTTGGAAGTGTGATAGATTATTGGAAATTTGGAAGGATGTTCATTCTACTTTTTTTTTTTCCTATGGGTGGTGTTATGGTTTGCTGCTTTGTGCTCAGGGTTCAAGGACCTAACTGGTTTATGGGTTTTAACCAGCTTTAAAATTTCAATTTATGCCAAAATAGAAGGGAAATGAAATAATAAGAAAAATCATTTCTAGGAAGTCACAAAAGAGTTTTCCATGAGCAATAGTATGATTATAAGTGTATGTCAATTTTTCCTGTTAATTACATATAGTATATTGTGTCAATTTTTCCTGTTAATTACATATAGTATATTGATGTAAGGAGATATTTGTATGTTGGATGACATTTTTCTCCACAACAAGGTTGGTTTTGTATTCAAAACCATTTCATGGAATTAACTCTTAAAAACAACTCATGTAGTCTTGTGACAATTCATTTTTCATTTAAACTCTTTCCTATTAAAGCATATGGCCAAGGGAGTTGATTTCATCCAATATAAAGAAAAACAAAGCAAACTATTTAGGTTGGGAATGGATATAAAAATATTTAAAGGGAAAGAATACATTATTGCCATTTTCATCTTTCAATTTTTGTTGCCCTAAATGCAATATATGTGAAAATTTCCTTCACAACATTTTTTTTTTTCTCGGAATAACATCATAGCAAACAACTCAATTTATAGGCATTTCATATTACAAGTTAATATTATTCAAATAAATGGGTACAAAAGACCTCTGAAAACCTTCTCCAAAATATGATGGTCATAATTATATTTGTGGGCACACCATTCAATGAATGACAGATGCAAGCCCACAAATGAATGTGGGCAGACATTGAATGATAGATGCAAGTTGACAAATGCAATCAAATAAGATAGTCAGCTTTTATTTTTTATGTGTGACAGCACAATATTTTACTACATTTAAATAATAAAAAAATATTTTAAAAGTATTAGTAAAATTAAAATTATCTTTAGGCGCACATTTTAAATTAACATCCGATTTTGTTTTTTATGTGTGACAACACAATCTTCTTATTCAAGTTTTACTTTTAAATCATCAAAAAATATAGAAAAAAATTAAAATAAAATACTAGCTTCTAGCTAAACTATAATTATTTAGATAAAACTCATTTATAGAATTCATTTTACTTCTTTCTTTACAAGCAAATTTTGTTGAAGATTGTTCTTGTTCGAAAATACCTCATTTCCAATTGATATTTTTCGATAACAATTGCAACTCGTTCTTACTTCAACTAATTACTTTTGGGCTTTTGGGGGCTGTCAAGTAACTCCATTTTTTTTGGATCAAACATCCTCGTTTTAAAATTCATCTTACTTCCTTCTTTTATGAGCAAAGATTGTTTAGTGTTCGTTCTTGTTTGGAAATACCTCGTTTTCAATTGTTGTTTTTTTCAATAACAATTGAAACTCGTTCTTATTTTACTAATCGCTTTCCTTTTTTTTTTTGTTAGAGCTG